CTGCATTCCTGACAGGTTCTTCGTCCATCAGTTCTGTGGGAGCGGTTTCTATTAGCAACGTGTCGACTGCTTCCATAAATCTTCCTTGGTTGTAAACATTTGGCGCACTCTACTCCAATCTCGAGGAAGCCCAAGACACGAAGTGCAACAGGCAAAAAGGTAATTTCTGTTTTATGTTTACTTTATTATGGTTCAATTGCAATTTATTTTTTCTCCGTTTTATTGCTCCCCCGATGTATATCCATAGATGTCTGCTTTGGTTCGTTATTTGTCCCTTCGTTTTATTGGTGTGCTGATGTGTGCTCATGCTCCCAGTAACAGCCGTAGTATCATCACGGCTGCGAAATGATACTCCACTGTGATGGACCACATGTATACTCTTGTACACTCCCTATAGCTAGCGTCACCTTCAGGATTGTTATTTACTAGTCCTAGAGAAATACTGCTTTTTGGAACCTCCTAACTTACCAAGCAAAGAACGAACATTTATTCCGTGGTAGACGACAACCCCGCATATCTACTGTGCGTAGCCTTATGGCTATCAATTTATGTGAATCAATTTGAGGACCTCAGAGTCGCCCTCACCCCAGTCTGAGTCCCCATAGGGTTGGATTAGATCAACCTTTTCACCAGTTTTCCGAGTGGCCACTCTCTCTACATTCGCGCTCCCGTTTCGACTACCAGTTGGTAGCCAGCAGTGGTGCCCGTGGGCCGGGACACGTGAGAATACCTGAACGAGATTTTATCGTTTGATCGCACCACTGTACCTCACTGGAGACTCTAGCATGATCATAACAATCACTGCGGGGGCTGACGAATCATACATGTCGCTGGTGTCGCACATCGAGAGCATTATCCTCCATGATTTTATCGGCCATGAGGTTACTGCTTATCCCGTGGTATGCAGAAACACAGCAAAATGCTCATGTTCCATACAGTTGCTTATCGACTGTAGTTCAATTTTACACGTAAAAACGGATACGTGGTTTACTCTGCCTAACTAAATGGATTCTCTGTGTTATAAAGACCGAGGTTTGAAAGACTACTGAGACTGAACTATGGCGAGCATTACACGATCGCATACTTATGCTCACCCTATGATAACTACCGCGGACAAGAGACAGACAAAGTGAAGAGATGACGTCAGCAAATTTTGAAAGCTCACTTCTAAGGATGGGCTTGATGGTAATGTTAGTACCTTTAATTCCTATACACAAGGCAGTTCACACTATGTAAAGCATATGTAAGACTCCGTGAGCATGGAAACTGAGCGTGTAGACAAACATTTTTCACCTCAAGGACTTGCACCTACTTGGCTAGTTCATAATAGGTTTGACTTTTGGAGGCGTATCTGATAGATCAGTTGGTGTCAAATACGCTCTCGTCCAACCACACGCAATCGCACAATTCCTTCCTCCTTGAAATCTAAGCTGGGAACGAAAAAACCACCGATCCATCTGGATGCTTTCACTTAACTGACGGTATTTGTTGTTCTAATCGTGCACATCCATCCGTTCCGTTATAGGTGCACTACTGATAAGCGCCAAACGCGCGAAACAACCACCTAGTGATTTCCAGGTATTGGAGAACTTTCTTATTTGGAAAGAGCAGTGAGGAATTCGAGGGCACTTACATCATAACTCTCTACTCATAAGTATGTGCTGATCACGTTGATACCATTTTTGTCAACCAGCAGTAAAGTGTAGGACACAAATGCAAACGTGACAGGGAGACAAGCTACCTCAAGGTTGACCTGCAAGAGTTAATCGCCCGTGTACCTCAGTGCAACCACGGCATCATTTCCACGCCATTCAAAACAGATGACGCACCATCTGCTTTGGAAGCTGTACTCACCAAGGAGGAACTAATGGTCGATACCGTGACCACAGATGCACCACTTGGCCGTTGCAATAACGCGATGTTCCTTTTTCGTTATACCTGCTACGCGGAATATATCAGCGAGAACAACGGCGAAGCCTACGTCGTCAGCCATTAAGATATCTTGGCCAACCTCATGTAGGAAACCAACTGGTCTTTTCCAGCTGAGCAGCCGCCCGAAGTCGCCCGGATGGTGTTTTTCACCCAATTAACCGGGCTAGTGGCAAATACGCCGGAATTCAAGGTTTTTCATTCGAAGCAAGTGAAGTCATTTCTGAAGAACCGGACTAGAAAATGCATGGCCTTAAGGGAAACAGTCTGCTGCGCTTACAAGGTCTGTCCGAGTGTGCAGAACTGGGATGCTTACAAAACTCAATGAAATCACTGCGTCAAATTGATCCGCGAAGACAAACCACGACACCAACAGAACTTAGCGGAGAAAATCAGCACAAATCCTAAATTGCTGCACATACACGTCAACAAGCTCAGCAGGGTGCAGCGCGGGAGCCCGGTTTTACGTACACAAGATGCGGTTAACACGCTCCGATAACATTTCATCCACACTTTCCAGAGTGAACCATCATCTCATCCGCTTTTGAGACAGCTCACACCGCCAACAGGGTTAAACCACGCATTACTCACGGTAGCCAATGTGATGAAAAGACTATTGTCCTTGTGCGTACACAGCTCTCCTGGCATAGACGACATCGAAGGCAGTGAAGACAGTCGCCCTAAACATTGTCGAACCAGTAGCTCAGTTATTTCAATGATGCCTTGATGAAATGTGTCTTACCACAATATGGAAACATGGAATAATCACTCCTACTCACAAGTGGGAATCGTGCAGCGCCCTCGAACCACCGTCCAATCACTCTCCTCCCAATGTTATCCAAAATACCAGAAGCTATTATGATAGAAGCGCTCATAGAATACGGTGAGAACAACGGCATCATACTGTCCCAGCAGCATGGATTCCGCCGAAATCAGTCTTGCACAACAAGCTTGCATCTAGCCCGAGCAAGCTGGACAGAATCTGTCAATGCCCGAGTTAGGGTTGATATCGTTTATCTTGACTTCTGTAAACTTTTGATCGCTTGGACCATTGCATTATTCTTCACAAGTTTCGAAGCTACAGAATCAGTGACTCTGACATTTGTTGGATAAGCAACTTGCACATCCCACGTCAGCTGAACGTGAGAGTTTGCAGCTCCGTTTCCGACCCAGTTGAAGTCCAGTATGGTGTGCCCCAAGTATCTTTACTGGGACATAGTATTTTCCTAGTATTTACCAACGACCTATTCTAGGGTGGTGCAGTCGAACGTTTTGCTATTTGCAGACGATGTCAAACTCTGGCATGACATCCAGACAATAGATGATCACACGACACTGCAGAGTCATCTCCACAGGGCCTATAATTGGTCATCCGAAAACCGGCTCCAGTTTAACTTGAGGAAATGCAAAGTTTCGATCATGCGTCATCAGCTTACCAATGAGAATCGACTTGGGACCCAGCTGTTGTAACATGCTTTCAAAAAGTGCGACCTCGGGCTGATCCGCAGGATGATCTCTGCTGCTCGAGAAAGGCTAAAAGGGCATCAGAAAGACCTATTCAACATCTTGGACTCTTACGGAGAGTTTTCGGAAAGTTCCAGCCATCAGTATTTCCGCAAATGCTGAACGCCTACGTGAGGCCCCACGTGGAATACGCGATCCAGGCCTGGCGTCCCTGGCGCAAGCGCGACACAATTGCACCTGATGCGCCCCAACGTAGAGGGACCAAACTTGTAAGAGGGATGTTTCTCTACCCCTACCAACGCAAACTGAAGGCCCTGAGATTGCACAGGGGTGAATATAGACTTCAGGGAGGAGACCTCATCATGGTTTACTTAACATTGACCAACCCAAAGCAAGCTTGTCGCGACCTGTTGCAGCTAAGCCAAAATACCAAACTGAGAGGCCATGCATTGCAGCCGGCTTGATTGTCGGCAAAACATTTTTGCCTTTTGGGTATCCCGAAAATAGAACGCTCTTCCAAACCACGTCATCTCTGTTTCTACATGAAGGTTTTTCAAAAAACGTCTTGATGACACGCTCCCCCACTTTAAGCACTTGATATAGTCCGTTTCACTCGGAGGAGGAAATAAAGCGAACGGAACTGTGTGCTTAATAGCCCTCTCCGCAACGTAGCGGTAAGGATACACGCATCAGTGTCCGTGGGAATAGCTTGGATGTACCCAAACCGGGGAACGTATCATAGCAGTCAAATTAAGCTGCACACATGTGAGGGTTGTCATTTCCGATTTTACATAGTTCTCGCGGAGTATGTGAACTATAACTACTCTCCATATTATTTCGTGTGTGATTATTCCATTTCCATTTCAAACTATCGTTATGAAGCAGTGCAGTTGAATCGGCAGACGCTTAAAATAACGATTCACTTAAACTCTGGTTCATTTAATTTTAATTTTTACTCCACCTATCCTACGGGACTTGTCAAGTATACGATTTTTTGCCCGTGACAAATAAGTGTTCATTGGTAATTACTACAGTAGACTCGGAATGCATCTCGTGTTGAGGAGTATAATTTTGTTCCTGGTTGCACACTTCAGGTGGGAGAAACTAGTGTTCAACAAAACGAAGATTTACAGGCCATCAGTAGAAATCTTCTTTCATGAGAACAGGTGGCAGTGATTTTGAAGTTTTGTTTCTAATTAAATTACCACAATGATCGTTAATGTATAAAAGGTTATCCCCACTTTTGATCACGGTTCACATTGAAGTACATTAGGTTCATTTCAATTTGCAAAACAGTGCTCACCCGGAGGATGTCAGAATCTGAATAGTTATGGCGATCCAATCAATCAATGAACAATACAACAAGTAAGGCACTTACTTCATTTCGGTGTCAGCAACTGGATAAGTTGCGAGTATATGGTGCCATAAGTGGGCTTATGCAGGCAGAAAATATAGCGTTCTACCTCAACAATGATACCGAAATCTTAACTGAACTAGAGTACCTCATACTGTGCCTCAAAATCCAAAAAGTTTCAACAGAACTTAGCTTTGCTACATAGTTTGTTCACTAATATGACTACTTCTGCAAGAAATTCCGTAGCGTATGTGTTCCAAAAAATATGTCCAAGCCCATCAAAAAAGTGTCATGACAAGCAACGAATTTGTCTGGATAAAGGCGTCAATGGCTTCTTCTCCTTTAAGACGAACGGTAGAAGACCGTATTTCATTGAATCACGTACTATTATTTTGAAGGAGGTACATTTGTACGATATAGAAAAGTAATCACACATTGTAATGGTCCGGTTGTTAGCTAACTGAACATCGACAGCTGTGCCTTCCACGAACCACATCTAAAGGGAAGCACTGAAAGAAAAAGTAGGTATGGGCGATGTGGCCACTGTAACACACAGTACAAAGAAAATTGACCATCAAAATGCTATTCACTGGGATTCTAATGCGATCGGCCTTACGTTGACATATTAAGCGAGATGTGGACTACAATACTGGCGAATGGTTGTAGCTTGCCAGCATTAAACTATGTTTCAAGCCCAAATAGGCTCAGCATGGACGGGGGTCGGGATTGCAGCTGGCACATGTAAGCAAGCCAGCCACTGAACTGTAGTGTAACCGACTAAAGTCGTTTGAATTGTCGAAGTTGATTGGAAGCTACTTCGTGTGATTCACAGCTGGCTTGGTTTTGAAACGGCTTCCTCGTCACTAAGATGAGCATCCACTTTCAGTGGTATAGAGTAGTGGATAGTGTGTCAACCAGTGCGTTTTACCCTACTAAGCCAGGCAAAAGCGGCAAGGAATAGATTTGCTGGGCCGTTCACTATGTTTTCTTTGTATGCTAGCTGCGCTTTGCTTTATATGTCACTTGGGTAGTTTATTCAAGTTAATGGATCGAATGGAACTTGCTACCACTCTCACTGGTGTCACCGATTGCTTACACTGGTGGATGTTATGTCACGGCCGGGCAGTTGCCGAATGCGGTAAATGGGGAAAACACATGCACTCGAAAGGTATGCGAGCGCCAGAACTGCCTTTCTGTGACCTATGAGGCCATGCAACTGACACTTCACCCTTCCGGTGTGTACCGGTAAATCTGCGCGGCGTTTGCTGTACAATGCGTTAGGTTAACCGGGTGTGAAGGGAATAATTTTTCAAGGTTGGGCCTGGGAGTAAAATTTATTTGCGACCACTGCGTGGCCTAGAGAGAGAATGGAATTGTTTGCTGCTCTTTTTTGAAAGCCAGAATGTGCTACGTCGTCGCTCATCCGTTCGTTCACACGAACGAAATGACATTGGGTTTCTGCACATAGTGGCTTAACGTGCTACTCTGTTTTGATTCCAGCGAGCGTTAGTGTTTAATTGCGAATGACATACTTTACGCGCTGATTGCATTCACTTGGTTTAATTTCGCAACTAGTAGTTCTTTGTTCGTGAACAGTAGGTCTCATCATTAACGGATGAATAGTCGTTAGGTATGAGCTACCAACCAAATTTGTTTGCGGTCAACCGCATCAAGCCATTTTGCTACACAGGTTGTGTTTGTATACTCTATGGCATCAACTTCGCTTCCTGTCGCAAAGTGGTCACCCAGTTCACACTCGGTAGCTCTGTTGTGTGCGGTGCAGTGCATTGTTCCGCTAGGCTGTGTTTGCAGGAACAGATCTCAAGTGATGAGATGATCAAGCGGTATTGCTAGCGGAGGAAGCGGAGTGTAGTCAACGTTGGTTGGTGAACTGTGAACGAGATGGAGTTAGGTCAGGCATCTTAAGCAACTAGTAGCATCACTTTGCGCCGCTAGTTGAGATTCAATGGTTCAATGGTGTATGATGGGATAAAAAGCATAACTTTACAAGACCCACAGGATGGATATGCAAAAGAAAATTAAAATCAAAATATTCCAACTTGGAATGTGAAGTATCAGTGGTTAAATCATTGCACTTTAACAAAGTGTTGTGTATCGTTTATCACTAAGATGAAAATCTAAGAGTCTTTCGAATGTAGTCATGTGTGGTGCGTTCACCACATAGTTTGGTAATGCATTCCAGTGAGAACAGCTTCTAAGTGAGAAAAATACTTTCTACAATTCAAATGTGAGTGTTGCGTCATTAGTTTCAGGTGGTTCCCTCGGTTTTGTTTGTATGTCGAAGTTGACGCCTGGGAATACACAACTCATAACTGCTGTGTCAAATACAAGGGGGGAGCAAACAATGCGTTTAAAGGAGCAGCGCCGTAGTTAATTGGAGCAAAGTAAAATCGGCATTCGTATGACCATTATCATACCAAACATTTATGATACCTTTTACAACATTGCTATGTCTGGTCGGTTGGGGGTCCAACTCAGAGGGCGCGATTTATCAAAACTGGGTGTGGGCGGATTCTAGACTCGAAGCGCGAAAACGGCATCGATCTGTAATGGGCCAAAAAGTCACACGGTCGAGAAAACTCTATCGGGTTGTGATGACCACACCCAAAAAGTCTATGCGGACGGCCTTGTTTTTGATTCCTCTTGCAGCCCATTTAGTCGGAGTGTGTCTCTTGGCAACGGAGTGCTTTCAACTTATCTAACACTTACATACGGGTGTCAATAAGTCAGCTCGCAACTGCCACTTCCACCGAACACTGTCTCTTGCATTCATCTTAGTTGCTGACTGTGTGTGTTTAGTGGGCATGTTTTGTGGTCATTAAATTCAATGAGATCAAATGTATTTGCTAGTAGTTCTAGCACGGCTTTCACTTCCTGTCCACGCTGGTTCGACTTTTAAGTTGGTGACATTCCGTTCCGTGTAATATCAGTAAGTGCTGTACCGGCTTCATTAGATGGTTCGACATAACGCAAAAAGATCCTCCTGTTTAAGTGTGAGGTTTGGTGGTAGAGCATAGAGCAACTTCATGTGCACCATACCTCACCATAGAAACCGTCATAATATAATTGGCAGCCTAACATGCAATTGTGCCGGCAGACAATGAGCTGTGCAACTAACCGGTCAACATATTTGAGCGCAGGTCGAGTGGAGAAAGAAGTGCGGTCGGAGCTTGTCACGTGCCCTCACTCGAAACGATGTTCCATTAGTCAGAGTACAAACATGGAGTGGCAATTGGTTATTTGCGAAGGTACAAAACCAGGGAATAGCATAAACTGTGTGTTATCGGGGTAGATTGGAAGTGCATGATACTCGGTTAGGAGAAAACGCACACCAGCCTACCCCAACAAGCAGTTGTTGATGAGACTAAAGTATTTCCATGAAGGATTGGAGGAGGAACGTTAGCTTAAAAGCAACAGTATTCCATTTTGTGTTGTGAATTGCCGAGGTGATGAGAAACTGGTCTACCGGTTTCGAAGTAGGGAATACAGACCTTGGTGCGAGTTACGGAGTGATCTGGATGTAAGTCACTAATCCGCCAAATATGAGTGACCAAACAATAATACCTTGCACACCAAGTCCCAGAAGTGCAGTAGCCTACCTAGTTCCTTAGTGGCTGACGCACATCATACGGAGGATCCCGTGTGCCCCTAGGATTCACTGACTAGAAACAAAAATTTAATCCGCATCGACATCTTGTTTTTTTACTTCCTAACATAGCAAAAGATATTTAAAGGGGAAGCGGGCGTTTAGTACTGACTTCGTCCAGCACTTGATTCTTAGCGCTTTTGAAGTTAATGAGACGTAAATGTTTAACCAGTTGGTGGGGCGCGAAAAAGCTATGCGTCAAGTGCATTTTCAACTGCGTTCTTAGCTGATACCCGGTAGTTTGACATGCAAGTTGGTGACGATTATACAGGCAAATATTGTAACAGGACTACCTCCCAAAGAAGTGTAAAAAAGGCAAAAAGTGGCATATGGATGCGATATTTGCGACAAATAACCGTAAATGAACCGCCCGCCTAGTTTCACATCCCGTAGAGAGTAGGACATACAGCAAATCCAAAAGCGCAATTTGTCTCAGCTACACGCATGCCCTTCTCCAGACCCGTAAAGCAGAAGCTAAGGACGAACTGGCGCTCCGGGAGAAACCAGTTTGAATGCTCCGTACCCCAATGTCCTGGCTACAAAATGGCCTCATGGTCTAGCGTGATGCGTTTAATTTTGCAGTACACTATAAATAACGGCGTATACTCATACATCGAAGACAACGCAGTTGAAATTAAACTTACCTAATCGATTCAAGAGTCTGTTTTCGTTGGAACGCCAGATGGGATAACGACACATGGAACTTCTGTTTGATGCAGCACATAATCACTGACGCTGCCCAGGAAGACACGTTTGAGAGTCCCTAAGCCTCTGCTGCCCATGACGACGAGATGCACTTTGAATTGTTTCATGGCTTCAAGAATGGCTTCACCAGGCCGGGAACCATTCATGACGATAAAATCGTGGGGTATTTTTTTGGATTCACACAAATAGCCGTATTCGTCCCGCAGTTTCTCCGTTTGCTTTATGCTGTAATCAAAAGGGTATAGAGAGACGCCAGTTGAATCATGTGTTCGAAGCACAAAGGCAATTTGGATAGGCTTAATCGCAAAGCTTGTAAACTATCTGGGCTTACGTGACTTCTACTACGGACAACCTTAACTTACGGATGGTGTTAAAAAACAGTTAATGAGAAGAGGCAAAGTGAACCACCAAAAATAACGTGCTTTCGCACATACTGTGGAGAATGTGGTGCAAGGTAAAAACAGAGACTCAAAGGCGTCGTGCGAAAAGGCATCAGCTCTGTGCATTGCCGTTCAACCAAACAGTTGCAAACAGGGTATCGAATCGAGGTGAGTCCGGTTGCCAAACACCTTTCAACAAGATAACAAGAAATCACAAGCTGAAGAAAACGAGGCGGAACGCAGAACACAAACAAAAAGAGGATTGGTAAGAAGAAAATTAGTCAGGATGGAATATTACCAGCTAGATTCGAGAAATCGAATGCAGGGGTTCCAATGATTATAGTACGACGCGATTTCCGATTAGGTCACCAGCCTCAAAGAACACAGGTACCATTTTTCCCAGGTCTCGGTCAATTTCTTCATGTCTCCATGTCCTGTTAGTGCCCGGTCATCCTACAGCTTAGCCAAACTAGGTTGCAGCAGCGGCATATAATCTCATCGGGAAAGGTGGTTGACAGACATATGGGTGACAGAGCCTACGCAAGTTGGGTGGTTCATGTTTAGCAGTCAATCAAGTGAGACACCAGTTTGTTGCAGACATCAGGTAGTGAACCTCAACACTGCTCACCCGATGTTCCCAACAAATGTGAGCAATACTTCGTAAGCCATGGTGTTTGAACACGGCCAAGCGCTTAGTGTCTTCACTGCGAACTGGCCAGGTATCTGATACAAACGGTAACACTGACCTAATCAAATGGAGCAATGGTTTATGACGGGTATACAAGCGAATGCTTGACATGTGCTGTAGGATGCTTAGGGTGAAAATTACAACGAAAAACAGTGTCAGTAAAAGAATGTTTGAGATAACTGGCTCACCAAGGGGTTTGGAGTAGCATATGTGCGAGTATTCCTGCCTGGAGTTTAGCATGGTTATGACACCGTGCACTGTTTGTTGTGTATTAATGCCATCATCTGATGGTTATGGGCTATATCACATAGTATAAATGTGTCAGGGTCTCATCACTGACCGTTCCACCTAAAGGAACGCATTCTACCCATCGGGAAAAACATCAATTTGTCTATTCATATCCAACCGTCAACATAGATGGTTGAGTCTAAGAAACGTCACATGGTCTTTGCTGATAAGTGTTATACCGGTGATAGGGAAACTGCACCACTCCTTGTTGTTTTGTGAGGTTGCCCCATTCACTCTTATTTATACCATCCTTTTTTACGGTTCCCTGCATACGTTTTCTGTTGCCTCACATTTGTGACTAGCTTGGGTTGACACTGAATCTTATGCTTAATGGTTTTTCCACTTCGCTCGTTCGTGAGAAACCGTACCGATCCTTTGCCCCCGGAATGACCAGCCTTGATTGAACGAATGCCAGTTTTTCTGCATAGCCTTTGTATATGTCCTGATTTGAATTATGCTGTTGATTTGTATTCACAGGCGTTTGGTGTCTGGATTGGTGTGCGGCGTGTAACATTGTTTTCTACCAGGATAGCCGTGCGTGTTCTCACTACTTTAAGTGGGCGGAAAGCAGTCGTTGGGGCTCCGACAAAATATTTCTGGCAACGGCGTTTTGAACGAACATGTCAATCTCATTTGAATAGATGCAGTCCCTTATCCAGCAGCAGCAATTACATTTTGAGAAATCTCAACGGCAGTTGATTGAGTTGTTATCAGAAAAACGGCACATCCAAGTGGATTTGGAACCGGAACCCAGGTTGACATCAGATGAAATTGAATCTGAATGTCATAGACAACAATGACACAAAAATGATTGAAGTTTCAGATTCCAGAACAGAATCCCAATCCTGTCATACAGTTATTCGTGGCCAACATTTGAGCTGTGATGTGCCGAACCGGAAGCCCCCGACAGCATTTTGGAACGGTGGTGAGATGCAACCAACGAGAGATTGCGCCTACAAAAATCCGCACTGTCAAGAAGCGCGCAACTTCAGGCGTGTGCGTACTCCAAGGGTGCAAGCATGCTTGAAACTGAAAAGGACCAGATTCCACGATGTAACAAGTTTTGCAGGGAAGAGAAGACGCCTGACAATGAAACGCGATTATGTTCCTGTGTCCCTACAGCCACGAACAGTGTCTGCTATCACGATCGTTTCTCGATCGATAAGGACAAAAATTGACAAGACGTCGGTCAAATTAACCAAACTCATGGCCCAAAATACACCAGGGGTACTGTTACAGCCAGACAGAGTAATCGCCTGTGAACAAAGACTCAAAGAAATGCAACGCCTGGAAACCATGTACCTAGCCAGAAATTAATCTGTCCAAAGTGGAAGGAATTCAGTAGTTATACTTGCTCAGGGAGTCGACGAATCATGTCAAGCTATGCACTAAAGGGGTTACATGTCCCGAATACGCCTGTGCTGACAAATCACTCGAACAAACGACCGTGCACAGAATTAGGGAAAAACCAGTAAGCATAATATTCAGTGTCAACCCAAGCTAGTCACAAATGTGAGGCAACAGAAAACGTGTGTGGGGAACCGTAAAAGAGGACGGTATGAATAAGAGTGAATGGGGCAAACTCACAAAACAACGGGGAGTGGTGAAGTTTCCTTACCACCAGTATAACCATAAGCGAGATACCCCTCTTATTAACCCGACTACCAGATGTGACAGAACTACCGAGGTAAGTGAACCACTTACAGATGCTGTCCAGTGATAGATGGAACCGGTGGCGCGTTCGTCTATACCTTCAACAGTACTTTACATTTCGGGGTTGCAAAGCATATGCCGAAACGTGCAGCGCTGCACGTTGGCATATTCGGCAGCGCTTGCATTGCCACTATTTCCGAGCTGAGGAGAACTGTTGTCTGCGTACTCAAGACTTATCAGTCCGCCGCCTGGCACGTCCTCGACTCCGGAAGAAGTTGAAGGAAAGGAGTCATCCATGCTCATTCTAATCATATGGTTAAAGAGAAAAGGAAACTTTGGACAAACCTGGCACATCCCACTTATCGTGGTGAGCTAGGAGATAGCTGTAAATAAACTCTTAAAGGCTAAAGAGGCTTCAAAAGACAGAAAATTTTACCTGGCCAACTGTTCCCGGATAGAGATGACACCACTAGGTGACAGCTCTAGTAGAAACAAAGGCGGAACCAGCGTCCAATGTCTGTCTTTCTGTGGAAGACCCAGTAACTTACGAATAGTAGCTAGGTAGTAGATGCAACCAAGACCAGATAAGAAATAAGCTAGCTCGCATTGATTAGCCTCCCACAAGAGACAACGCGTCACAGAACGGCACATGTGAGAAGTCTGTAGGTAACGGACCTACTGTCAGGGTCTCATCTACATGTGCAAAAGCCCGGTGCTCTTTTTGAAGATGGGAGTTACGGTCGACAACCTTTTGTTGTCCCAAATATTGCTGAATAAAGCGACTAAACAAGCCGCCAACCAGTCTCGTTTATCTTACAACAATGATAAAACAAGGTCGTCGGGCCGGGGGCACTGTTTCGTTTCATGTCGAGTCATTTTCTGAGTGGAAGGTGTGACGTGGCCAGGCCATAGTATCAGAGTAGGTGTGCTAAACTGCACTCCAAAAATGCTCCGGGCAACGGACTAGTTGAGGCGGCTGAAAACTAACCACCTGACTATCTTTCTCACCTACCAACTTTTCAACCGAATGTTTTCTTAAAATCGTGGCTCCAGATGAGGAGAAACAATGATCAGTTGTTCTTAACATACGACAGGCTGGGCGTCCAGTATCAGCGACTCTTCATTTCTTCACTGGAAACGAATCGCATTCAGGAATCACAGTTTCAAACCGAGAAATAGCTGTCTAGTATTCTTGTGCCCACGCATTTTCTTGATGTATCTCACAGATGGTAACCTGGCGGCCTTTTACTCAATTCCAAGCAGCTCATTTTTAGGCAGCTGATTGACTACATCTACTCAGTGGCATTGCAATCACTGTTGACGCCCGGAGTGGTCTTTAGATTTCCACTTCCACTGGTAGTTGTAAATCGGCAAACTCTCATAATAGTGAACAACCCATCAGAACTTCGTCTTACATATCAGCAATCTAAGTTTAGATTTTGGAGTGTTGCTGTAAATGCATGGATAGTTGTTGTTACAATACTCGTGCACAAAATTTACAAACACACCTTTCGTGCAGCAAAAGTATCGATAAAACGACCAAAATTCAGGCAAGTAGCGAGTTCCCTTCCTATGGAGAAAACCGCCAAGTCCGTGAGCAGTATTTGGTTCATTGTTAGTCGAAAATAGATCGTCAAACGTTTGAGTTTGAGTACTCACAGCTTGCAATGCTGATAGCACGGGTAAGAAAGATGCGCAGCAAAATCGCAATATTCGATGCAGATTCCCAAAGGTGGTGTTTCTGTATGAAACTCAAAAATTCAAAAGGCCCATGATTTTGTCGTTCCTTGATGTCTCCGCAAAATACTCTTATCCCCTACTTTCAGCCAAGAATTCCTATTTGCTATATTCTTCAAATTCGATAAAGCATACAATCATATTTACAACCAAGCAGATTTGACGGTGTAACGAGACCCTATTTGTTTGCAAGGTCATGAGATTGCGGACAGTCTCGGTAAATTTTACTAGTCAACCTGTGTATGACAGACAGCACTTTCCGTTTCAAATCAGCATCGAATCCCATCGGTGCATTGAACAACTATTCACCATCGATTTGTTTCTGTTTGCGGAGTCGTCGCTCCATACTTATCCTCAAATCGGAGTAGAGTAGTTAAATTTATCAATTTCCCTGCCCAGTTCTGAAGAAATTGAACTCTTCACATAGTGAGCTCGACAGGGATTTGCTGCATAACCAACTCTTCTGTTGGAGTACATTT